GCTGGCTTGCTGGGTGGCTGGCTGATCAACTCCACATTATGGAGATAAGCTTAAACATAAGTTAAGACATAAGTTAAGACAAGAGATCTCTTAGGGAACTCGACAATACTGATTCTGATTGACATTTTTACTTGAACTTTTGGACAGCCCGTCCGTGGTCCTGTCCCCAAAAATAAGAAATCAGGAGACCATTGTGCAATAATATTTGGAAAAGTATATTGATATTGTACATGAATGACATTTGGATATTTCAGATTATTTAGTTTTTTTTGTGCAATAACCCTGTGCCCTCTTATAATGAATTTCAGCCATGTTACAATGTATCTTTTTGAAAATACTATGGCAGAGAAGCACACATGCTATCTATTGCAAGACTTATGCCTAGCACAACTGTCACCATGTTATTAAGTGTTCTTAAGTTTCGCAAGGATCTTGCCATGGTCGTGGTGGTATTATCGTGAAAGCCTGGTATAACCGTGACAATGCTATATTATATTGCAAGGCCTGTCATGACTGTGGTAATGTTTAAGCCTGATATGACAGTCGCAATGGTTGCAAGGCCTGTCACGACCGTGGTAATGTTAAAGCACAATATGACTGTGACAATGGTTATATAAAATAGCATTTAGTAGCATTGCAAATTTCATAGAATGATTAACTACCTTAAATATGTGAATCTAGACTTCTATACATGAACATGGTACTCACGTACATCGATACATAAAATTTTAGAATCATTTAACTCATAATTCATTTCCGAACACTATAATTTTAATCTCATTCAAGAACGAGAAACATTGTCACAGTCATATCAGGCCTTATTTATAAGCACTGTCGCGGTCATATCAGGGTTTAACATTACCACGGTCATGACACTGGCCTTGCAATATAATATTACATTGTCAAGGTTATACCAGGCTTTCACGATAACACTACCACGGTCATGGCAGGATCATTGTGCAACATAAAAACACATGCTATCTATTGCAAGACTTATGCCTGGCACAACCGTCGACATGTTATTAAGTGTTTTTAGGTTTCGCAAGGATCCTGCCATGACCGTGGTATTGTTATCGTGAAAGCCTGGTATAACCGTGCCAATGCTATATTATATTGCAAGGCCTGTCATGACCGTGGTAATGTTAAAGCCTGATATAACTGTGACAATGTTCACGTTCTTGAATGAGATTAGAATTATAGTTTGTGGAAATGAATTATGAGTTAAAGTAGTAGTAGTATCCTAGATTTACATATTTAAGGTAGATAAATGATGACGTTTTCGATTACAGTATTCTCATGCTACTAAATGTCACTAATATAACCATTGTCACGGTCATATTGTGCTTTAACATTACCACAGTCATGACAGGCCTTGCAACCATTGTCATGGTCATATCAGGCTTTAACATTATGATGGTCATGACAGGCCTTGTAACCATTGTCACCGTCATATCAGGCTTTAACATTACCACGGTCATGTCAGGCCTTGCAATATAGTATAGTATTGTCACGGTCATATCAGGCTTTAACATTACCACGGTCATGACAGACCATGCGATATAATATAGCATTGTCACTGTTATACGAGGCTATCACAATAACACTTCCACGGTCATGGCAGGATCCTTGCGAAACTTAAAATTACTTAATAACATGGTGACGGTTGTGCCAGGCATAGGTCTTGCAACAGATAGGGTCTCCATAAAAATACTTGATAACATGGTGACGATTGTGCCAGTCATACATGTAAGTCTTGTAGATAGGGTCTCGAGAAGCATCAACATATAAGAGGTCACACACTTTATTAGCCAAACTAGAACTAATTCAAGATAAACGAAAGTCATTTATGTACAATAGGAATAGGCCTATGGCAGTGAAATTTTTTGAAAATCAAAATCAATGGGCGATAATTCATCATACTCACTTTACGGGAAAATTACAAGTTTTATGTTGAATTTATCAGAAAAAACCATTACCCTGTTTGATCCTCGCTTAGTCTTGTTCACTTTGAGCAACTTCTTACCTTCAGATCGGCTATATTGATTACAAACTAACGGTACAAAACTTCCAGAAAGATATTTCGGCAAAATAGCACGGTTTAAGAGCGCTCTGATTGGTTGGATTTGTAGCACGGGTTAGGAGCGCCTCTATCGGTTGGACTTCGAACTACATTCCAGCACGGGTGTGAAAGCCCAACTGTTTTGGGCTACCCAAGTGTTCTGTCTCTTGCCCAACTGTTCTGACAACCTAAGTGTTCCGAGTTCACATATATTTTATAATATCTTAAAATTCACAAAAAGTTAAAAGTGCCACACGATTAAGAAAGAGAGCCAGAAAATGTCAAAAAATTGTCCATTATTAGAAATACGCACCCATTTTTTTCAAAAGGACAATTTTCCTGAACAAGTTGATACATACTTAGTATTCCTGAAACTGAGACCCAGTCTACATATATCGATATATTCTGTCCAAATATCCTATTGCTCAGGAGTGTTCCATGGTGCAAAGGTCGAACACCCGGGGATTTGACACTCCTCAATGGGTGCCCTGTTACACTCCCCTCCATAAGTTAGGCAACATTAGCTCCCCCATTGAACTACGTGTTAAAAGCCTCTTTACCTTTGAATTTTTATTTACTTAACCTACCATGAAAATACTTATACTATTAACGGAAACGTAATTTGACTTTATTTCCAATACCTCAACATTTTCTCAATTTTTTCCCTCAATTACAATAAGTTGAAAATTGATGATAAATTTGATGAATTTTGAAAATCGACATTCCCATGTTAACCAATGGGAAATGATAGGTTTGCCGCAAGTCATATGACAGAATATCCATCCATCCGAGTCCTTGCAAAAAATACGAATAAGGCAGGCAATTGAATTAGTGTTAACTTTATTTAACAAAAATATGTTTCTTCAGGTTCAACAAAGTTATAGGGCTTTAAAGTCAAAATAGTTTTTCAAAAAACCTTTCCCATTGAAATAACTCAGGAGGCGAAAAATTATTTTCAAAAATGACTTTGAAGCGCTGTAACTTTAGTATTCATCAAATAAACTAAACACTTAGTGTACAAAAAAGTTAGACAATTCAATTTTCTATATAATTTTTTTTTGCTGAATCTTTTACTGAAAATATATCCTGATTTCTGATTTGCCCGAACCCTCCATTTCCCATTGAATTACATGGGAATGACGATTTTCAAAAATTCATTAAATTTATCATCAATTTTCGACCTATTCTAATTGAGGAAAAAATTGAGAAATTTTGGAGGTATTGAAAATAAGGTCAAGTTACGTTTCCATTAATATTATAAGTTATCTCATCGCCGGTTAAGTAAATAAAATTCAAACCTAAAGAGGCTTTAACACGTAGTTCAATGGGGGAGCTAAGGTTGCCAAACTTATAGAGGGGAGTGTAGTTATATATAAAAAAAAGGAAAATCTTTTGTACATGAGACAGCCACATTATAAGTGATTTGATTAACTTAATTTCAACAGTCATCTCTGTAGAAATCTAAAATTGGATTAGAAATTGAAAAATCACCATATCGAGTGTATTTGCTAAAATAAGTAAACCCAGAATACTTGGGTCAATTCAGAATATTTCGGCAGGAGTCGGAATACTTGGGTAGCCCGGAACACTTGGAGCTTCACACACGGGTTTGATCTGAGGCCCAGGGTTTGATCGAACCTCAAACATGGCTAAATTCTAGCACGGGTTTGATCAACCTCAAACACGTGCTAAACTTAAGCACGGGTTTGATCAATCTCAAACACGTGCTAAACTTTAGCACGTGTTTGATGTGTATCCGGCATCGAGTGCTTCTGTACAGACCTACCGAAAGGAATTTATGCAAGAAAAGTAAGCGGAAACATTTTGATTCTGCGCAAGTTTAAGAAAGTCAATGGACTGGATAAAACATAGAAAAGTTATTTAAAAGCGGGGGACAAGCACTTCATTAACATGGAACGTTCTTAGAGGTAAAAGCAAAATCATGTGTGACATATCTCTACGTTTTACGCCATTTTCCCATTATATAAAATATAAAAAAGCATACAGAGGTTCGAGAAACATTTGCAATCTGAAATAAATGTAATCATTAAAATGAAGATTGGAACTTATATTTTAATAACATGCCTTTACGGCAAAATTACGACACCAGTGCCAAATGCAACCGAAAAAACTCCGAGCTTCGCTAGAAACGTGACCTTAATCACAGCAACAGTAGCGTCTCGGGGAATTACGGACACAACGACTCAGTTTGAAAGCAATGGAGTCGTTCATATCACCGACGAGGATGGACAATTCTTCACTTGCAAACGTAACAATGCAACCGATGAAAATGAGACGCTTAAAACAACGACAGGTGCTTATGCCGTGTCAACTGCACTAGACGAAAATGCCAGTGTTTATACCGAGAAGTCGATTTTATCCGATCCCAAATGGACATGTACATCAAATGAAACGTATGCCGTTTACCATGACCAATATGCCTATGAGGACTATCTAGAGTGGCAAGCAGGAAAGACTTTATTTCGATATGTGTCTCCAATTATCCTAATACATGTAGTTGGAGTTGTTTTCAATATTTTGAACTTTGTTGTTTTAACGTGTACTGACATGAGGAAGACAAGTGCTAGTTTATATCTAGCTGTACTGGCCATTTGTGACAATATTAATCTCTTAATGACTCTCACTAACCATTGGCTGAAAAATTTATTTAATATCGAATACCGTAAAACAAATGAAACACTCTGTCGAGTTTCTGCATTCCTTGCATATTTTCTACCGCATTTGTCCGCCTGGTTGTTAGTTGCAGTGACTGCAGAAAGGGTCGTAGTTGTACTTGTTCCGATGCGAGCTCGAAATTGGTTTACTTTAAAAACAGCTGCGATATGTATTCTCATATTGACAACGATCATGTTTTTCTTGAATATGCATATTTTCTTCGTTACCGGCTCTGGACATATTACATGGTACGGCAAGTTACATTCCGTCAACTGTTATCCCTACAATGATGACAAATATTTTAATTGGAAACAAAACATTTGGCCGTGGATCGATTTTGCGTTTTCAGCTTGTATTCCCTTCACATTGATCTTTATGTGCAATATTCTCATTATATGTGTCGTCACAAAGGCAAACAAGAGCCGCAGAGCCAATATGAACGCCAAGGACGAAAAGCATGACGACGCTAGATCGATGACGGTAATGCTAATTGCCGTTAGTTTGACTTTCGTGATTTTGACCCTCCCCATTACCATTTATTACATCATGGACGCACAAATTACGAGCGATAATCCATACAGAAGTCATCAGCACATCGCAGACATGGGACTCTTTCGTAGTTGTGCAACACAAATGTTTTTCATCAACTGTGGAATAAACTTTTTCCTTTATTGTATCACTGGAAATCGTTTCAGAGCCGAGATGATAAAACTATTTTGCTGCAGAAGAATGGAAAAGCGTCACGCACCACCTAAAACAAGTGTTAATTATATGTTATCAAACACTAAAAGTACGCAAACCATTGAAATTGAAACAGCCGTATGTTTAGTTGAACACGGTCTGGCCCCAATAAACAACATCAACGCTAACCAACATGAATGTACAAAGTTTTAAAAATAGTTCTTCTTGTAGACAATATCAAATTGCTGACAACATAATAACCAGCATACACTGAAAACCATGGTCCATGGTACATTTATTAATTATTTACACTCATTGTCTGACAAACATATCATTTAATGAATTATAATATAATATAGTGTTACTCAAACGGGGCCATACTAATATGTATAAAGGTATGTACAGGGAGTCCCGAAATTATGGGACCCCCCTCCCCCCAGGTAAACATGTACAAATTACCTATGGTATCTGGTCAACTCGGACCCTAGTCAATTAGGACCCTAGTTAACTCGGACCCTAGTTAACTCAGATCCTAGTCAATTTGGACCCTAGTTAACTCGGACCCTGGATAACTCAGACCATAGTCAACTTGGACCCTAGTTAACTCGGACCCAGTTATATTCAATATAAATACGAGGTATGGTGCTAGGTGAAAGCAATTAACTTGCAAAATATTTAGAATGTTGGAAATTGAAGATATAATTTATAATAAAAAGTGATGGGATTTGTAAGTTGTGTGATTGTAAATGTAAATATGAGACTCCTAGAATGCCCCGCCTTTATTAAAGAGGGATCGGGATTTTATTTCGATATTGAGTCTAAATATCCAAGAGAATTAAGCTCCATGTTTTTATCCTCAAAAAGAGAAAACTTATTTGCATGTTAGGTGATGTAATATTTGAGGACTCGGGGCAAGCTTATGGAATTGTTTTTGACAATTAAGTCAAAAGATTTTTAATTAAGATTTTTAAACGAGAAGTGTATAAAGTTCTTGTATAAATGTTTTTAGTATTTATTATTGTTTTAAAATGTTTTAAAATGTGACGCACCTATTTTAGTGTGCCGCCGTTTCTAAGGCGTCTGTCAAATAAGAAAAAAATTAATTCATTACTGAAATCTTTAAATAATGATGTTTTTGTATATTTCTGATGAGTCAAAATCAATATTTTAAACCTTAAAGTGTGCGCCTGACCCGGCTACGTATAGCACAGAGTTTATACTGGCGGATTAGACTAGTTCATTTTTTATATGTGTGTGAAAGCTTTCTCTTATTTGCGTTTTTCGTTTAGTACGGTTTTGTTATAATTGCCGAGGTCATATAACCGGGATAAAACAATGATTATTGTTGACTGCCCACACACAAAACATACGTTGAGTGAACAGTGTAATTACAAACAACAGGCTTTAGAATACAAAGCGTAGTGTGATAATAAGCTGCACACTACCACTGCTGCATGTACATATTACTAATTTACTAGGGCTCCCAAAGAGTGGATAGGGAGGTTGTGTTTGTCACTTTTAAATTTTACATTTCAAAATTGTCATTTTACATGTCATAATTTGTTGGTTTCATTCGTTTAGCCAATCAAAATATTGGAAAACAATAAATTGTCTGTTACGTACAATCAATTTTGTTCAGTTTTGATTTGTTGTCAGAATAAAGTTACGTTCATCTGAATCCATGTATCAAAACAAAAACCCTATTTTCACTTCAAAATACTTCAGTGAGATGAAGGCTCGGAATTGTCACATACAATAACTTATTGTCGTATTCGTTATTTTATCTTCTCGATAGTAGCATTTAGTCGCACATTTGATGCCAGGTCACCTTGTCGCGTACCTCTTGGGGAACCCCACATTTATGTGTGTACTCATGGAAGTAAATTCCCCGGTGTAGCCGAGAGCCACAAACTTTTCAACAGGTTCGAAATGACCGATTTCTCTCATATATACTCTAAATATTTTTTTATTTAGCACCTACAAAGTATTGCTAATAACCATATGTAATTTCAATAAGGAAACTTATCTGGCTACATATAAATTCAATATCAACACTAGCTGTTCTCTCAACACGTCCTGGCTTACCTTGTGGTGACAAACCCTGGATTTTCGCTATTTATAGTTTATCAACACCTGGACGCATGCGCATTTTATACTTTATCGGGCACTTTAATACTGTTTTTGCTTATTGTATCATTTGTCATCAAAACAGTCTTTAAAAATTGAATAATAATGCTTTTGATTCATTTTATTATCTTTATATAGAATTGGAACTATACTACATTGTATGTTTTAAAACAAATGGATTCAATTTAGCTGGTCGTTTATAATGCTGTTATAATAACTTTTACTAATAAACCTAATTAAGAAAAATTGTATCATCTGTTAAGCATAAAATTATGGTGTTGAAGTAAATACAATATAGAGGTATTACAGTAATTTCAATAGTCAGTTTGGGGAAATGGATTAGCACATTTGTGTTTTATTTTCAATTTTGTTTCCAATCGATTGTCTAAACAACGAAATAAAATGTCTTTGCGAACCTTGTTGGAACAAAGTAGCATACTAGACAACATTTTTTAGACCTCTCAATATCATAGTTATACAAGGCGTTCAATAAGTATTGCTAATTTTGTTATTACTTTTGTTATCTTGCATTTTTCTTCATGAAACTTTTACAACATAAGCAACACACATCTGACCTTATTCTATCTAAATTTTCGGACAACCGACATAGTATTGACAAAGTTATGGTTACTATGGTAACCATTGTCACGGATACGCGGGACAACCTTAAGGGTTTACATGATGAAGTGTTGTTATACATCAGATAAACACGTTGATGAATAAAAGCTGTTGATATGGTCAATTCCTGATGTTGTCAGTTTGAATTATATGTATTATCCAACAGCGGTGAAAAGAGATCTGAGAGGGATATCGCACTAGAATCTCAATCAGCAGATGTATGCAGGGAACACTGCACATCCCTAGCCACACGCTTCAATGTCCACAAAGAGCAATATTGACCTATACGTAAACGTTCCACCAGGATAACGCCTCTGCTCAAAGATCCTCTTTCTTCCTAAATACAATAACAGAGCCTGGCATGGAAGCGTTGCCCCACGCAGCATATTTCCCAGATAAGGCCCCACTTGATTTTGTTGTATTTGCCTCAGTGAAAAGGGATCTGAGAGGAATATCGCACCAGAATCTCAATCAGCTGATGTCTGCAGTGAACACCTCCCTAGCCGCACACTTTAAGATTGGCTTTAAAAATGTGTACCACGAGTGGGTCGCCAGACAGCAACTGTGCATTGACGCCGAGAGTCCCTATTTTGAGCACCTAATGAAGATATAGAGGTTCTTATATGACTACCTGTGCAAGCTCGTCCATTCTTGATGAGCTTTTTAATTCTTCTTTATCGAGTCGAAGACGAGATAAAGAAACATTATCAAAGCGAGTCAAGAATGGACGATATTGCACAGGTACGAGTACAAGAAAGTTTTTCTCATATGACTCTGTATTATGCCATATTTTCACCATTTTATGAAAAAACTGAGTGAAAAATAGCTTCAAATTAATTGAACTTCATCTTTCAATTGTTATGACGTCATAACAATATTGAAGAAAATTCATGGATACACGTGGCAAAAAGCTCCATTGTTATGACGTCACAGCTTAGTTTTGTAGAATTAGCATGGATACTCATAGCAACGGTGTGTCCGTTGTCATGTTGTTGATGTTTATAGACCAGTGATGTCACAAGTAAATCTCATCTTGCACGTGTGATCTTTTAGGATGAAAGATGGCAATATCTTGCATGGGGTAAATATGGCTGTATCGTTGTTAGTCATATGAGAAAATATGGATCATGAAGTGACTCTGGAATTGATTATTTGTAACTGCACTGCATATCCCAAGAGTTAAACAGCATTAAACGATACTGCTTTCAACACTCAAAATGTCGTCCAAAGTGACTTCAGAAATTTGCCCCGCATATCCATGATACTGGTTACCTTAGTAACCATTACTCTGTTAATACTGATTCGATTGTTTTGAAACTTTCATCGAATTTTATATGTACCCTATGTTGTGGAAGTTTCAAAGCAAAGAGAACAAAAGTTATAGCAAAATTAGCAATATTTATTGAACACCCTGTACAAAGTAAATTTTAATTGATTTAACAAAAAAGTATGCAAAAAACAAAATTGTTAAAAAATAAGATAAACCCTTTACTTCATTAACAAGATACTTTTTTTAAATCAACCAAACTTTCCTTTGTAAAATTACAATACTGAGAGACCTAGACACGTTGTGTTTATGTCGTTTTGTTCCAATGAGGTTCGGATAGATGTTTCATTTCATTATTTCCGAACATATGATACCAAGAACAAAACAGGTGTCCGATGTGTTTTATAAAACAGTATATAGAAAAGTGTATTCCATACCTGATGAGGTTTCAGGGACATATCAACCGGGAATATATTCCATATCCGGGCAAATATTTTTCGTATGTCCCGCTCCATCGGAGCTCCGGGACATATAAATCGTATGTCCCGCACAAGCCGTCCTCCGGGACATACGATGGCTGTATGTCCCGCCCCTGGAATTTACGTCATAAATATTTCAGCGCACTGAACTAAGCAAACGACAAAGATGGCAGAACGGAACAAAATGTAACATTTGAAACAAATGATGTTGATAGTTTCTAACACTGCAAATGAACACACAACGAAGAAAACGCGTTTAGATGTCGGAGTACTCCACGATTACTTAGCTACTAAGGGTGAGCTTCGGCCATGCGAAAACATAGAACCAGAAGTTGAATAAATATTTGTCAAGTTTTTTTGCTTATAAGCTTAGGCCTATTATTTAAAACCTCATCAGGTATGGAATACAACAGTTATGCACGGTCGGTTTGGATACATGGAATATCCCTTGGGATATACAATACATCTTTCCTCGGTCCCTTCGGTCCCTCGGGAAGATATATTGTATATCCCTCGGGATATTCCCTGTATCCAAAACCTCCCAGTGCATAACCCCTATGTATCCCTCGGTAAATACAATATATCAACCCTCAGTCCCTACGGTCCCTCGGGTTGATATATTGTATTTCCCTCGGATATACACTGTATCAAAAATACCCCATTAATTAACCTCTATATATTTTATACATGTCACATTACCTTTTTTCAAGTACTAGACATGTTTTTTATTTCATTTTCCAAATTCTTTATTCAATTCTATATTCTCTAATTTAATGTATCATTTTAACTTATAGCTATGGTATCAGATTTGATTATGATTTAAGATGAGGCTCAAACAAAACAATGAAACAGCATGAAACCTTTTCTGAAAATTCGAATGATTTTTCAAGAATCCTCTCCTTCAAAGCGTTACCAAAGTGCTCCTCGGGAATGGACACTTCGTCTTCTGCAATCAAGATAATATATAGCGGGTAATGTGAATTTTTGTTTGAGTTTATAGCTTACATCTATTAATTTAAAAACATATTGTCTCCTTGAAAGGTAAATGCAATGATGATGATGATCTATTATGATAAAAGCTAAATATTGTGAAAAAACACAAGTTGACACGCTGACATTTGGTAATGAAATTTCCTATACTACTCCAGTAAAATCGTTGTAAATTTTCACAAATAAATGAAAAAATTGCAACACAGAGTAAACCTAGTGTAATCAATAGCCATTGGTAAGTAAAACAACATATCAAAAATCTAGAAAAATCTAAGTG